AGTTATTAAGAATCATAGAATTGTAAATGGGAATGCAGTGAGAATTAAAATAAAGATAAGACTAAAATAATATAAATAAGTAAGATTGTTCCCATTCAAATTTAAGTTGAGCTACTTAATTTGAAAGTACACTCTTTTGCAAAAACATCGAACCACCAAGAAGGACTTTTGCGATCGTGACAAAATTTGGTATGCAAAAACATCTTGATTGAACATTTAAATGATCAAAGTTTCAAGGCAATTGAACAGGAATTGCGATCATAGCGTCATTTCTAGTGCGCAATTCACTAAGTATAAAACCAGTAACAGAGGCAGAAAATTTATGTTTTTTGTTGCTGCCATTGTAATTCTGTAAAGAAGCAACTAAAGATGCTATTACGATGATATTGAAAACCTTACAGACAACTAAACAACTTCGGACGTGGTCGCATTGTAGGGCTGCGTGAAGCTGGGTGGTCCTACTGAACAATAGGTAGCATACAAACACTGTTGTGCAAAGATGTTGGCAGCGATGGTTGCTACAAGGAAATTGCCTATGAAATGAAGGCTCTGAAAGGCCAAGGAGAACAATTGTGAGGCAAGATAGAATGATTGTTCGCCAGGCCCAAACCGCCCCAGCTGTATCATTGTCAACTATTCAACGCACTACAGCCACGTCTATACCTCCCGAGGTACCGTCTACCATCTCATGGCGCTTATCTGAGGTGGGTTGCGCTCACAGAGGTCTTTAAGTTGTTTGCCTTTGATCCCACAACATCAGCGGAGTCGTCTGGAGTGGTGTTGCAGCCGATCATCATGGCTGCCATCAGACTGGCATTGTATAGTGTTCAGTGATGAATCCTGCTTCACTCTTGAAGCAGATGACCACCGTGTTCGTGTCTGGAAAGGATGGACCCAGAGGTCCAATTCAGCCTTTGTTTTACAAAGGCATACAGCCATAATCCCTGGTGTGATAGTGTGGCGCACCATTTCTTATGACAGCAGGTCATCCTCCACACATCTTTAACATCACAGTGATATGTTGATACCATCCTACGGCCAGTTGCATTACTCTTCATGGCACGTCATCCTGGGGCCATTTTCCAACAAGATAATGCCAGGCCACGTATTGTTCGCATAGCTCTGGACTCTCTCTGTGCAGTTGATACTCTTCCCTGGCCAGTAAGGTCACCAGACCTTTCATCAATCGAGCATGTCTGGGGCATAGTAGGCCGCCAGATTCAGGCGCCACAAAATATCACAGATCTGGAGCGACAACTGATGAATGCCTGGCAGAACGATATTAGGAACCTCTACCACTCCTTGCCTTGACAAAATCAAGCATGCATTGCCGCCAGGGCCGGTTCAACCAACTACTAATTTGAACACTCAGTGAGTAATTGTGAGCCATGAATAGGCACTATAACCTTCATTTTTTAATTATTTTATCATCTGTGTATGAGCTATACACATATTCAATTTCATCAAAAACAACCACTTCCTTTATGGTGCTTCAGTTTGTTTGCAAAAGTGTATATTTCAAATCAGTTCAGTATAAGAATAATTAGAACATCTTTGCATCAAATTTGTTGACAGATGTTTTGTGTAAATCCCTTGTATTTTGTTTTATATTTTAATTTTAAAATTTAGTTTGATCTAGTATAGTATGAGTCTTCTAGTTAATTATAATATTTTTAAACATTTCTTATAATAAATTGAAAAGTTCCATAAATATTAAATTTATGCTTATGTTTAGCATTTTCTATATCAAGAATATCTAACCTCATGTGTAGAGGGTTCTTCAAATATGTTACATGGAATTCACAGACCATAGGTCGTTGCAGGTTTTGAAACATCCCAAAATGAAATCATATTAGAAGTGGATTGTAAAACAAGAAACTATAAAGTTATGTGTCAGTTAATTACCATACTCTGTATAATAAAACAGAAGCTTGAAAAATGAATCACAGAATTAAACATTACACATGTATACATTAATACTAATGTAACGTAAGATGATTGTTATCTAGAATTTATTTTCTGTTGATAAGTCTAATGCTGACTTAATTTGAGGTCTGACATTACTAGCATATACAGATAGGTAATGTCTACTCATGCATTTGATGGCAATGCATAGAATATATGTTAAGATTGTGTGAGAAGAAACTTTGATTTTGTTTAATTATTTTTGTGCTTGCAGTTAGTTTCATAACAGTCTGTGCTATCAAATAGTGAAATGAATCAAACCGTATCTGTACAGTAGTCAATGTGAGAGAGCATACAATTAAAAAATGCTAATAAATCATAAAGACAGTTCTTTTTGTAAAAAACTTAAGATGTTCTGAAGTCTGAAAATTTTTTGTTGATCCACTTCCAAGTTTTTTTCCCCCTCCTCTTTAGTTTGGAATTATTTTAGCACACTTTCTGTAATTTATCATCTGAGATAGCCTTGTTCATATGATAATGAAATAGACAACTTCATGTACAGTCAAAAGTCGTTAATTCTGACACCCATAATCCGGACCTCAAAGCTACAAACTTTCTGCGCGTGCGTCGCATTGACGCATGCGCAGCCGTAAAGGTCTTACAGCCGTAAAATTCGCAGCCGTAAAGGTCTTACGCGCATGCTTCCCGTTGATGCATGTGTGTAAGACCCCTTTATGGCTGCGAATTTGCATGTGCGCGTGTGCAAAATACGTTTACGAATGTGCGTTTAATGTATAACGGACTGTATAAGCTAAGCTCTAATTATCTATTTCAGTTAATGTAGCAGATTGCGTTGTTCCTTAATCTTTGAATTGGATCCGGCTTATTATTTTTTGCAGACTGTTAGAGTAATTTTATAAAAGTAAGCTTGAACTTTCGATTATGTCAAATAGAATTTCCGATTTATATTTACTAATATGTAACGGATCTACAAAGCAAAAGTATGTTTCGGAGTCCATTAAACAAAAAGTGGAATTGCTGCAAAAAATGGATAAAGGCATATCCTTTGTTTATCTAAACTTTAATGTTTGTTTATCTTTAACGCTGTGGCGGGCGGGTGCGCAATGAATTGGAAGTTGATCTGTCAGCACTATCCTTATCTTCAAGGCAGATGTTTTTATTTTATTTGGCTTATAATTGCTTACTAAATGTAGTATTTCATTTCGATATACTCCGTCTTTGATATGATTTAAATCAAATGCCTCGTCATTATAATTCGCTTCCGATAGCGAAGAAAGTGACAGAGGTTATTGAAAATGAAAAAATTTTGATTGACAAATTAGTCGGTATTCTCGACACAGCAATTATAGGACTTGAACAGAGGAACTTTGTAACTGAACAAGAAATTATGTATGTTTATAGAATTAAAGAGAATGTATTATCACATAAAAAACAAAGCAACTTAAACAACTTACATTGAAAGAAATGTTTAATAAATAAACAAATAAATATTAAGGTTTTTTAGTCCAAAGGAATTTGAATCCCGAAGGACTATTAGTTTCGATTTGGCATTTTGCGTCGGACTCATAAATGTCGGTTCACTTTTCAATTTGTTGCCACAAAATGTTAGAGTCCTGCATTATATTTGAAGAAATTAAATAATGAAAAATCTGCATAAATGTATGCATATTTCTCGTATTGTGATAAAACAACGGTACATAGAGTCATTGAATTTTGAATAACGTAATCCTCCAACGAATATGAGCATGTGGAAGACCAAATTTGAAATTTGAAATTTGTTTTATGATCGATTTCCTATTTTTTAAACTTTGACGAATTTTTGATTAACAAACTCAAGGATTTCAAAGCGAGCAATGGCAACGTTGTGCAGAAAAAACATTTTTATCTCCAGCGCGTGAGTCTCTGTATCGGAAATTCTAAAACTATTTTGCGTTTTAAAACTATTTTGCTCGTTTTAAAACTATTTTGCGATATTGCTGTTGCACTGGATCTTATGGTTTAAGTGCGAGGAACATGATATTTAATAAAGAAAGGTAACACACAAAATGTTAAAAAATGCCCCTTTGGGCGTAATTTAAAATCTAAAACATTTTTTTTTTTTTTTTTTTTTTTTTTTTTTTTTTTTTTGTAAATTTTGATACACTTTAGATCATAATTGTTCTTTATTTCATAAATTACAGTTTCATATTTTTAATTTTATAATTTCTTCATGCCATTTTACCAGATTTAAACTGATGATAAAAGGAAAAATCGATAAACCGGAATCGCCGAAGTCCCGACGAGTCCGGATTAACGTCTTTTGACTGTATAATCTATTGCACCTGAAATAACCTTCAATGCAATCTTTTTTTCTTCGTGGCTTCTTAGGCATTAGTTGTCCCTTTCTTTGATTGATTTCATATTTAAATCTGCAAAATTCTAAATGATATATACTAGAAATGTTGAAACATTACATCCTTGCACATAATCCATAAAGCTGGAACCCCATCTGCCATTCTCTACAAAGGAGATATTTATTTTAACAAATCGTACCCATAATCTGGTCAATATTATTGGTACTTGTGGATCGAAAGTTAGAGTACTGTGCTGTATCATATTTCAGTATGAACAAACTATGGATCTGAAACCAAGTTATATATTAGATCAGAGTTTTATTTAAATTTTATTCTCCTCTATATTTAGTTCCTTCTTTGATTATAGAAATGGGTATCTACAATTTCTTACGAGATATCTTTTATACCTGCACTAAGTGTATTTTTCTTTTGTTTAAAATAAGTAATTATAAAAATACCTTAACTTTCTAAGTGGCATGATTTTTTTTAATCTGCTCATGAATTAAATTTAAACATTTATTAGCTAAATTTATATTTGGTAATACAGATAAATTTCTACCTGTTTAATTCTTTTTTAAAGTTCCTTTCATTAAGATAATATTTACAGTAGTGAAGAAAACAAATTATTTTAGATTATAAGCTAATGTATACCAAGTAATAAAAAATATCATAATTGGATAATGGTGGTCTTGCCATTCAGGTTAAATTATAATAAATATTAAAAGAAAAAATTCTTTATAGTTGGGGCAGCATTGAAAAGGAATCGATCTAATAGTTGGTCCGATTCCGTGGAAGAATACAGTTTTTTTGATGATCATACTACCAGAAACGGAAGAAGTGATTTTCGTGATGAGGAGAGAGAAGCACTTTCAGCTAGTTCTAAGTATGATATTACCACCTTAATTTATTCTTTTAGTTTACAGTATTCTAAATGTTTCATTAAATAATTATTTAAATAAATGTGTACTTAGGAGCCTTTTTAACCGTAATTTTTAATACCAAAAACACATTCATAGTTGTATACTTTCTACATAATCTTCTCTGAATCATATGTTAGTGCTAATGTACTATAAATACAGTAATAAAAAATGCAAAAATTTCTTTACAGTTTCGTTTCTTAATAATTGTAGCATGTTGAATTTTGTATACATAAGAAGTTTAATTATTTTATTTTGTATTTTAATTCCACATAATAATTATGTGTTTCATGCTATTAAAACGTAAATAAGCCATGAAAACTATTTTTATGTTTATAACAAAATTGTAAGATTTTAATTTTTAAATTTATTTCTGTAATAAATGTGCTTTGTTTGACATTTTTTTCTCCTTGAGCCTAGAATTTATGTGGAAGTTAAAATAGTGTTCTTATAAATTGCGCTAACTTGCAAATGATAAATTCTCATTTCATGTAGATGTAATTCACGAATAGGTTCAAAGTATTATTTATTCTTATGAAGTAAATTATGTATGTGAACTGAAATATATCTAGTCATCAACTTACTGAGAAGAACAAAAAAAAAAAAAAAAAAAAAAATGTGATAGTTTATTGGAGACTTACAAAAAATTAAGTTTATTGGACACTTATAAAAAATTAAGGAAAGGCATTAGAATAAGTGTGAGCTCATGTTTTTTGATGCAATGCTTCCATCTGAAGGCAAGACATGCAATAAATTGTTTTTTGTTACTATAATTAAACATAGCAGATGTCTGAATTTAAAATATTGTTGCATGTGTATGATTCGTAATAGATTGAATGCACACAGGTCGGATGAAAGGTTAATAAAATCTACTTTATCAAAAGAAACACTTCAGAGTTCTGGAACATTCTACAGAAATACAGGTGTCCACAGTATCACAAAGTATAATCAGTAGTTACTCTTAAATCTACTAAGAACATTAAACACAGCACAAGCAAAGCGCATTCAAAAGGCGAAGCTTTCAATACTTTGAAGTCACTATAAACTAACAAGAGCAACAACAACAATTGAGGACAGAAGCTCTCCCTGGCCCTCTATAGGCCTTGCCTGGCAGCTGAGACACTTTGAGCACTTTCTGCCTTTCGAAACTATTGGAAGGCAATATGAGGGTTGAATTACAGTTACAGCCAATACAGTGAATCAACCATATGTACCCAATTAAAGCACTGACTACTAAGAACATTAAACATAGAGAAAGCAAAACGCTTCTAAAATGGAAAGCTTTCGATACTCCAAAGTCTTTTTGGACTAACAACTCACAACAACTGAGAGCAGATGCTCTTCCCCAGCCACCGAGACACTTCCAGCACTTTCCACCTCTCGAAACCATTGGAAGATATGCGAGGTTGAACCCACGGTTACAGCCAATATAGTGATCAACCATATCTACACAATTGCAATACCCAGTATGGTGATACAGGGACCAGACATGTTGCCAAAAAATTAACTGCCAAAAACTTTGACAGCCCAGCAATATCTTGCAAAATCACTGAGACATCCATTTACTCAATGTTAGACGGACTCGCCCCTACATTCCTACTCTCCTGGCACAGCATGTCTCTCCAGATCTCCCACATTGCATTATACAAAAAAAATACAACTCCACATATAATTAATTACACCAGAATCATAATATAAATGAGTCTATAAACAAAATTTGTAACACAGCTCCTCTCACAGGGACTGCATGTCCCGGGTAGTACAGTCTCTCAACAGGAAGCCTTACAACTAAGGCAAATCAATACAATACTTTAACAATAATTTCAGTAAGTAACATAAAATAAATCAAATACTAAATAAATGAGTGCACAAAAATTACTTTAGAAACAAATAGAACCATGGTCTTAGTATACTATTTACATTATATACACTATAGAGATTATGTACTACGGCCATACTAAGCGGCTAGCCTGTCGTAATGAACAACTTTAGGCTTAGAATTCAGTGACTTACGAATATGAACAGTGACATTGTTCAGCCTATTTAGGATAATGTAATACCATTAAAGGTGACTATACTTTAAGAGAGAGTTCTTTCCATCGAATCGGATTCTGCAGCCACACCTTGTCACCTTCGTTGAATCAATGTCCTCTAGCTCTCGTGTCATATTGAGTCTTCATCTTCTTTGTAGCAAGGTTGACTCGCTCTTGTGAAAAACTATTCATCACTTCTCATGGTGCCTGGAAATATTGGATATACTTCTTAGGCGATGAAGGAGTATCCGGAGGGCAACCAAACAAGAGATCACAAGGCAGATGAAGGTTACGACCGAAAAGCATCTGCCATGGGGAATAACCAGTAGTCTCATGGACAGCACTGTGATAGGCCATTAAGAACAATGGTAACGTCTTGTCCCAGTGCTTTTAGTATATAGAAACCACCAGCGAGAGGTTATTAAGAATGGTTCGATTAAACCTTTCAACCATGCCATCTGACTGGGGATGTAAAGGTGTTGTTTGCATTTTGTCAATATCATGTAGGTTGCAGGGTTTTTTAATTACAGCCTAGGTAAAAATTTCTTTCTTGATCGGAATGTAACTGAAATGGCACTTCAAACCTGAAAGTCCAGTGCTGTGTAATTACCTCTGCTACCATGACAGCCCCTTGAACAGGGATAGGCCACATGGTGAAGTAATCAATGACAACGATGATGTATTTGTTGTCATCAGCATTCGTGGCAGATGTCCCAGGATGTCAGAAGTGATATGTTCAAAAAGCACTTTTACATTGTAACATTGTAGCTTCCCTCGGCTGTGTTTCTTCAATCCTTTGTGAACTGCGCCGGCATTACATGATTGGAAGCACTTTTGTCCATCAGCACTTGCATTACTCTGGTAGAAGTGCTCTATGCAAAGTTTTTTTATTATTCCAAAGTGGCCTCCTGGAGGGATGCTGTGTAGTTCTTTATGGATATCTGGAATCTAGGATCTTAGAAGTATCAGCTGCCATCGGAATGCTTTTCTATCATCCATTTTGAACTTTCGGTATTAGAAGCCGCAATTCAATTATGGATTTAAGTGAATTTTAATGTCTTTCAACTTCTTAATTGAACTCTAACATATTCCAGCTGGTCTTTCCTGACTTCTTTGTCACTCGATGGGTGTGGGTCAGACAATGTTGGATTTGTATCTTGACGTACGACCGGACTAAGCAGTTCATATTTCACTTTGAGCCTCTAACAATAGCAGCAGCTGTCTGGGCAGGGTCTTCTAGACAGAGCATCAGCATTTCCATCTGATGATTCTTTCCGATGAAGGACAAAACAGCACAGACATTTTCATTGCTTGCATCCGTGTTGAGAATAAATGGTCTGTCAAGCTGAGTATATGTCAGGATTGAAGCAGATATTAAAGCTTCCTTCAGGTTCTTAAATGCATCGTCACATTCTTTTGTCTATGAGAACTTTTGGTTGCTCTCTGTCAGTTTGTGATGGGGTCTTGCAATGGAAGAAAAGTCCTTCATGAACCTCCTATAGTAGGTGCAAAGCTGTAGGAAGCTTCTCAGCTGGTGGGCAGTTCCGGGATGTTTCTAGTCTTTAACAGTTTACACTTTTTCTGGATTTGTACATACATCTTTGGCAGAGATGACATGTACAAGGTAAGTCAATTCTTGTCTGAATAGTTTACATTTAGTGGAACTCAATTTTAGATTGGCTTCTTTGAGTTTCTGAAGCACCTTTCTAAGATTTTCTAAATTTTCTTCAAAACTCTTCCTGATGGTGATATCAGACAGGCTTCCCAGGAAAGACCTCTCAACACAAACTCTACAAGGCATTTTTTTTTTTTTTTAAATTTTAGGAAGAGGGTAGCAGTCTTTCTTCATAAACTCGTTCAACTGATGATAGTCAACGTAAAATCTAGTTGAACTGCCTGTCTTACTGACCTGGACAATGGGAAGAAGCCAAGAAGCCCCTGGACTTGCTGAAGGCGGCTTGATAACATTGCTTTCTTGCCTGTCCCTTAGGAGTTTCCCTACATCTTCTGTTTAGCAATTGGTTGGTGTCTTGGATGTTGGTTGATTGTTGGATGATCCCCAGTATCAATTCTATGTTGTGTCAAACTGGGTTGACTTATTTCAAAAGATGAGTGGGGGGGGGGAAATTTGAAATTCTTGAATGATATGTTCGGCTGCGCTCCCCTCTTCATCACTTAGTTGTGCATTCTAAAATATCTCCAATATTAGGCTCTCCAAAAACATGGGTTCTGATGGATCACTGTTTTGTCACTGGAGTACATACTGCAGTCACTTCATCTTTCTTAATAATTTTCACCCTATCAGTTACATTTGCATATCTCACTGGAATAACATTCTTTAATAGGTTGTCGAGTGCCAAGGCTGTAGTACTCCTCCCAGGGTGTTATAGTTTTTGAAATATTCTATTATTCCGTACCAGAAATTTCTGTTCCCAGTTATGGATCCAGGAAGTAAAAATTCTGTTCTTGCTGATACTGTGATATAATCTTGAGCTATGATTTAGTGGGCAGATTTAAGTCCTTCATCATAAATTCCAAATAGGGTTATGTCCTTAGAGGCAGAATGCAGTTCGTTATTTTTAAAGTCCAAGGAGAAATTGTATTTCTTTAAAAATTCCAATCTGAATATGCAGGCATCTGCAATATCTGCCACATATGCCATGTGATGGTAGGTAGCACTTCCCAATCTGATGTTAACATTTAATTTTCCATCGATGGCGATTTCATCACCGGGCACAGTCTGGAGGATAATGCATGGTGGCATCCAGTTGAGTTGATGACCTTGCAGATGTTGAAATGAATCTTTTCAAATGACGGTAACATTGGCTCCTGTATCGATGGTCATATTGCAAGGAATTCTCTTGATGTTCCAGGATGAAAAGTCCATCAATGCCACCACTCACTGCAGAAATCTGAAGCTCTTTAAATTGAGGCTTCTCATTGTCTTTCAAACTCAAGATGGCCACTAATTTGTTTCTTGCATCCTTTCTGGAGAGTGGTCTTATTTTCCATGCCCTGGTGTGTTCTGGAGTTTCCTTGTACATGTCCTTCAACAGCACTTTACAGTTGGTTTCTTGTCACTCCTGTTTGTATCAAGGCATTGATTTGTCTGGTTAAATCATCTAGACAAGCAGCCATTTGATCCACCGGCTTCTGGACGTGAGCAGCTCTGATTGGGTGATGGTCTCTATGAGTGGCTTGCTGGGTTTGCTTCAAATTTCATCGTGTGCACACTATAGAGCGCTTTTTATATCCTTGACATTCGCCATTTGCAGGGTTTTCTGTTTCTCAAGATGCCATCAATGAAGGATTTCCTTTGTTTCTGATGGGCAGTTTGAAAAGGCGCGATGAGACAGTCTCCCAACATCTCTGGTGAATTCCTGGAGTGTTTCCATGGGCTTCTGTTGGCAAGATTTCATTTGAAACCTACTATAGTCTTTAAACACTTTTCCTCAAAGTACAGCTCCAACACATCGTATAGAGCTTCAATGTCTAACCTCTGTTTTTCAAGAAGATTTTGAAGTATATTCACTGCGTCTGTTCTCAGAGAAGTGGTGAGATGACAGACCTTAGCTTGGGAATCCCATCTATTCGCATCCACCACTATATGAAATTGTGTCTTGTACTCTTGCCACGAGGTTTTCTCATTGTATGTGGATAGCTTCAGTTCCCTGCTGTCGCTATGCATTTCTTTAAGGTGTCAACTTCTTTGGTGGCTCAGCAGAAACCCTATCTTCGATTTGTTTTCCGATTTGTTGTTGGACAGTAGAAATGCTGTCTTTCATTTGTTGTTCCACCACAGAAATTTCTCCAACTTTGTCTTCAACTGTGTCTATTCTGCCTTCCATACCCTCAAATTTGTTTTCAATTTATGTAGGTCATTTCTCTTTTCATTTTCTTTTGACTTGCTTTGAGCTTTGCTTGAATAGCTTTCATTTCCTCTTTAACAGTTAGTTTCTCCTCCAGCACTCTTGTCACTGGCATTCAACCCCACTTCTGACACCAAAGATGTTTTGTGCATACGGTTTGTAATAGATTCAATGCACACAGGTATGATGAAAGGTTAATAAAATTGATTTTATCAAAAGAAACGCTTCATAGTTTTGGATCATTCTACATAAATACTCGTACAGGTATCCACAGTATCACAGAGTATAATCAGTAGTTACTCTTAAATCTACTACTAAGAACATTAAACACAGCACAAGCAAAGCGCATTCAAAAGGCGAAGCTTTCAATACTTTGAAAGTCACTATAAACTAACAAGAGCAACAACAACAATTGAGGACAGAAGCTCTCCCTGGCCCTCTAATAGGCCTTGCCTGGCAGCTGAGACACTTTGAGCACTTTCTGCCTTTCGAAACTATTGGAAGGCAATATGAGGGTTGAATTACAGTTACAGCCAATACAGTGAATCAACCATATATACCCAATTAAAGCACTGACTACAGTGATACAGGGACCGTACCCAAATAGTCACCAGGCTGGGCTACTTTTGCAACTTCTTCCTAAATTTAGCGACAAAATTTGTGTCTCTCCCCCTTCCCCGAGACATCCATTCACTCATTGTTAAGTGGACCCACTGCCACATTCCTACCTTCTCAGCACAGCATGTCTCTCCAGACCTCCCACCTTATATTACACAGAAAAATACAGCACTTCCACATATAATTACACCAAAATCATCTGCATATATACAAAATTCATAGCAATAAATGTAATATTTAGGATACGCTAATTTGGTTACAATTTGATTAAACTAATTTGGTCCTTTAAAATCAAAATTTTTGGCATTAATTACTTTCTTTTGGGGGTGAGGTTACCATGTCTTTTTTACAATCATTAGATAATATATTCAGTAGACTAGTTTTTATAGTAAACTATATTCTTATCGCAGTTTTTTGTGGCAATTGTTATTTGTTCTCCTATAAGCGTGTAGTATCAAAATTTGGATTTTGGGAAAACCTCAAATACAATAAGCTAAATTTTGCATATGTAATTCTGAGTATACTTTTTGTGTGAGAAAAAAATTTTTAAATTGAATTTTCCCCCCCTCTGCAATAGGCTTCTTGATCCTGCCTATTCTACTCAATTTGATCAATACAAGACAATTTATGCTGATGTCTTATATAGATGGAATTTACTTGAACAAAGAGCTCAAGTATTAAAAACTGTTTCAACTTCTGCAGAAAAGCACAAAGGAATTGGTAAACAAATTTATTAAAAAATTTTTAGTATAATGTTCTTATGCAGTAAATTTTCTGGGTAAAATAAAATCTTTTTTTATCATGTTACAAAATCAAAAGGCGCACAGTAAAATTCAAAATAAAATAGTCTTGATTTAATGCTAAAACATTACTAAGATTGAAACTTTTGTGAGAGGCCTTTATCAAGTTCACCTGCTTTTATTCTGTTTTCTGTAGTGTTGGTGTACTTTTTTTGAATTGACATTCAGATGTATGACATATTAAAAGGAAGATTGCTATTGTAACATAATCTTGTAAAGATTTCTGTATTTTCTCTTAATTTGCAGACTGTAGTTATTATGAAGCACTTTATACTGCAGTCTACCATAAACCAACCAGCAATCCAGCAATATTATTGTTTGATTTTTTCTCATTTCATTCTTGTAAAATTTTTACATTGAATTTGTTAAAATTTTCTGTTTTACATCTAAATTTTATGAAAAAAATGCATTCTACTAAGTGCAACAAAATAGGTACTCATTCAACTTTATTGCAAAACTTAACAATAAAATCAGTGGACAAATTTCTGCAATTAATTTAGAAAAAGTAAAATTACTATTGGTACACCAATGAAACAGAAGTAAATTCATTTGTATATTTATTGTCTTGCTGTCCCAATACCCTAAGCATCAGTTCATTTTCCTAAAGATGTTGGGCTTCATCATTTTCCTAAATTCATTCTCATTCATTTTCCTAAAGAAGGATGGGCTGGGATTATACCAACCTTGGTATAATCCCAGCCCATCCTTCTGGAAACTGTTAAGTGCAGATAAATCAGATGTCAATGCAATAAATACATCAGTTCGTATATCACCCGTGTCTACAATGAAGAAACGATACTGAAACTCAATAAATTGATTTAACATCTAGGAAATGTTTGGTAAGAATTGCTGAACATAAAAAGGATACTCATAAACTGTCTAAAATCAATATAGCAACAAAAATAGCACATCCTTGATAAAATACTGCTTGGAATATCCAAACTTGGTTACTTGACTATGACAAAGCTAGAATCATCAACAAACCTCTCCACAAAATTGACCTTAAAATTGGAAAAGATTTAGAAATCTTCGCGTGATCAAGTTGTAGTAGATCTTCCTTTTAATCTTTATTACATATGAACTTCAATTCTGTAAATTACAACAAACCTGTATCCAAAAGGACCCTACATGAAACAGCAATAAAAGGAGATTAACTTAATCAAGTTGTTCAAAATTCCTGTTGATGAACCAGATGGAGACCTTTAAAATCTCCAGTCGTATCAATGTTATAGCATAGTGTTTAGTGTGTGACTATTTTATTTTCAGTTTTGCTCTTTTATCATAAGTTTGTTGTTCTGTTGTTGTTGTGATTTATCTCATTTGCTCGACAGCAACATCAGAACAAGCCCACAAAATTCACCATGACAAGAAGTGCAAGACTATGCCTGTTGTTGGCAAGAGCCTTGGGCACTATACAAGTGACAGAATGACTTTGTTCAGTTCTAACCCCAATTTTGATGGAGAGCACCCCGGCGAGACAGTTCCGAGGGTCCCCATCCCTTTTCCTCTACCACCAACCTCTCGAAAGGACTTTCGCCTCACCGCATATTTAGAATGCCTCCAATCCGAGCAGACACTATACATTTACAAACATCCATGCTTTCCGGGATTCGAAACTGGGCCCTTCAGTATGGCAGTAGCGTTGCTAACCACTATTCTGGTTGGGCGGCAGTTTATTGTTTTACAAGCACAAATGTTTTATTATAAATTACATTTCTTGTTTAAGTGTTATTTATGAAATTTTTTTATCAGCTGTATATCTGTTTTTAAATACTTCCTCATGTTGCTTTAGAATTTGTAACGGAATGTCAGCACTGTAAAAAAGATGTAACAGGAGCTCAATGCCAGTCATGCAAAAAGTATAGTTTTCGCTGCATTATCTGCGGTGTGTCTGTAAAAGGTAAGTGAGTATTTATTACTAAAACAGCTTTCTAATTTGGTAGAGGGGGATTTTTATTGTTAAATGCCTAACTCGTTCTATCACATGAATAGGAAAGAGTATTGCCGTTTGTCACATTACAGTATGGACTTTACTTCAGTAACAAATAAAAATTTTATTCAAGAAAGGGTAAAATGACAAAGTGAAAATCATGTTCACATAAAATTGCAAAAACAATACCTTACTCTTTATAATTGTAATATTTTGTTAAATTTTATGTGATACTCAATGCAAAAATATTTGACCATCTGGTTGGTGTATTATTACCCAATGGTAATAATATGTCAACTCGAGAGAGCATTTCTCAATTAAAACTTCCCTTCTGTTGGTTTTAAGTGAGGAGTTATTCCAAATTTGAAAAAGTAGCTGTGGAAATATTGAATGCTGGAAGATTTATGTATATTTTTTTTGAAATTATTGCTTTATGTATTTATTATTCCATAGAAATTTTCTTGTAATAGTATATCAAGGACTATGTACTCCCTTTAGAACGTATTCTTTTTTAAGCAAGTTTGTCAATGAATAAAATAAATGCAAGCACATAAGCTATCCATATGATACACTTAGGGAAATTATGAATCTGAAATCTTATAATCTTAAAACTTTAATTTACAGTCTAATACCTTAAAGAGTTTACAACTGATTTTTTAATCATTTTTTTAATATTAAAAGATTTAAACAAAACATACTAATATTTTGATTCTTAAATAAAAGTAATAACTGCTGTTCCAAGTCATAAAACACTCTTTACTGTTGAATTAAATTTAAATTCACATCCAATGACTTTCAATTATAAAAGATCTAGCATTTATTTTTGCATTTCTTTCTTGAATGTAAAATGGTGTTAATAGAAAAATATCAAAATAATAAAAATCTATATAGTACAAAGTCCTAGATCCAGAACAGTCAGAACTTTGACGATCCAAACTTTCAATCACCACATCAAATTTATTAAGCAGATATGTTGACATGGTGGGACTTATTATTGAATTATTGCTGAAGTCAGACAGAGTGCTAACCTCTCCAAAATCACTTCAAGGGCTAAAATTGTGGTTGTAGCCAGCATCAGTACAATGTGAATCAATGTGTTATCACTGGCTACTGTGCAATTTTCCTAGCTTATAGGTGTTTGAAAGTAACATGCAAGAATCTCAGTTTGTCTTGAGAAAAATTGCATTTACAGCATATGTGCTTCTTTTAATTGAGTATTCTTATCTCCTGCACTTTATAAGAGTGCTATGTTCTGTATTATTATTTGAACAAACTTAAAAATCTAAATAGACTTACAATTTCAGAAACCATGCCAGAGGTTAAGAAGGCACAAATGTATGCCTTTCATAAGAGTTCAAGAGACAGATCTTTGGAACTGATACTCTAATTCTTCAAGGTAGCATTTTCAATGCAATAAGAAATAGAGAAAAAAGAATGAATTAAATATGGATCTTACCTTACCATTAGTCTAGTCAGGAAGTCGAGTTTATAAGGTAAAAATTCTGCATTCAAATCATTCCTCGATAATTACACACAAAGATCAGTACTAGATGAGAGCACTTTGAGATAAGATTTTTATAAAAATTACTGAAGTTAAATTATATTTTTAGTTTTAAAATAATCTCGCATATACACTCTTAGACAAAAAAAAAAAAAAAAGCACCAAGAAGTTATCCGAATGGGACAAAAATTGGTAGAAGTGATGTACAGAAAAACAAATGATTACAGTTTGAGAAAAATTGGATGATTTATTGAAGTGATAGAGCTTCACAAAGTTAAAAAGTCAGTAATGCGTTTGTCTACCTCTGGCCCTTATTCAAGCAGTTATTCGACTTGATATCAGTTGATAGAGGTTGCGAATGTCCTCCTGAGGGATATCATGCCAAATTCTGTCCAACTGGCGCCTTAGATCGTCAACATCCCAAGCTGGTTGGAGGGCCCTGCACATAATGCTCCAAACATGCTCAATAGGAGAGAGATTCAGCGACCTTGCTGGACAAGGTAATGTTTGGCAAGCACTAAGGCAAGCAGTAGAATCATGTGCAGTGTGGGGGCAGGCATTATCTTGCTGAAATGTAAGCCGTGGGTGGCGTGATATGAAGGGTAACATAACGGGCCTTAGAACTTTGTCAACGTACCACTGTGCTGTAAGGTTACGATGGATGATAACCAAAGGAGTCCTACTATGAAATGAAATGGCACCCCAGACCATCACTCCTGGTTGGCGGCCTGTCTGCCGGAAGACAGGTTGGTATCACACCGCTGTGTGGGGCATCTCCAGGCTTGCTTTTGTTGGTCATCAGGGCTCAGTTCAAACTGGGACTCATCACTGAAGACTATTCTACTCCAGTCAGTGACATTACAGTGCAAATGAGCCCGACACCACTGCAAATGTGCTTGACGTTGTACAGAGGTCAATGGTAGTCGGCGCAAGGGGCGGCGTGACCTCAGCCTCCTTTTTGTGAGCCGTCTATGAATGGCCATTATGATCACTAAAGCACTAGTTGCACATACAATTGATGATAATGATGCATCTGGGGCTGTGAGTGCCACTCTGATGATTTCTCAGTCTTCACATTCTGTCGTTTCTCTACGCCAACCGCTTCCTTCTTGATGCTGTTTGTGGCCGTGCTTCACCCATTCCTGCCACTCTGACGATTGCAGCAACATCGTCTAATAGTGGCATCGCTCTTGCTCAAATGTTGACCTAATTGCCGATAAGACCAATCGTCTTCTTTGAGCCCAACTACACTACCTCTCTCAAATTCTGACATCTGTGCATATTGTTCGCTCACCTGTATGCGAAGCATAGTTACTGTCTACCAGAGTACACAGAATGAAATTCATGAAAAATTTATGACCTGGAATCGTAATTTCTCCTCTTAAATATCCTGCCAGTTGCGCAGATCAGATGCGCTGTAGCAACAACCGTTCATTCATTGGTAGCCAAAATGTAAAATTTTGCATTTTCCATAGAAACCTGTATACATATCAATTTGTGTCCGATTTGCTCTATATCTTCTCGGTGCGTCATTTTTTTAAGAGTGTATGATCAAATTTTATTTATCATTCCATTCCATAAATTTCCAACTATATCATCTGTATTAATTATATTAACCCTTTGCACTCAAGAGTTGACCTTCGATCATCACTTGATTTGATGCAGTAAGTCAAGAAATGAATCTCAGTTTTCACTTGATTTGATGCCATAAGTCAAGAGATGAATCTCAGTTATCACTTGATTTGATGCAATAATTTGAGAGTTGACTCTCAATCACCACCAGGTTTGACACAGTAATTCAAGCAGTAATGGTGTTTATTTATATTTGGTTTGGGCAATATCACTTCATGAGTGTATTCAATAATGCATGCATATAAAAAAACTGCCATTTTTAATCTTGAATAGATTAATTATTATAGTATATGCATCTCGGAAATTAGTTTGAATTTGACAGTCTTGACAACAGGAATATTATTTTCGAAGTCACAAAGACATGGATTATAATAAAGGAATTGGTATAAATGAAGATGAATTCGATTTTTCCTTGATGAAGAACGAAATTATGTCTATGCATAGATGCAGACAGAAAGGATGAAAGAAATGAGGAAGGTACACTGCTAAAAAAAAAAATGGGACAGTTCTATAGCTCCTGTTGTACTGGGCCGATTGACAAAATTCAAATTGCGTTTTTCATGTCTCAAAAGCGCAACTTAGGATATATATTAGATTTATGTATAGCACTATTCTAACATAGGTATTTTGACACAAAATCGGACTTTTTCTGAAATAACATACCAATTTTTTTACATATTTCGATTCTACAACTCAAATTATGCCCTAAATATGAAATTTTGTAAAAATTTGGAGCGAAATTTACGGAGAAATTCACGAATTTATGTCATGGCACTTTTTTTTTTCAGTTTGCGCCAAGAATAGTTCACTTGGCGAACTTCTTAATATATGGACAAACCTAGTTTCCTTTCCCGTGAGAGGAAAAAAAAGCCACCATCGTTTCATTTTTCCAAATAATATTCTTTATATTATATTTTTAATTATAACTTATTATTTTAAAGTAATTTTTCTTTTTCGAATTTCATTTTAATTGTTTAAGTTGCATGGTTTTTTTCGAATAACTGTTTTAAAAAATTTCTATTTACCTATTCGAACTGTAGTAAATAAAGGTGCAGCATTTTATTTTTTTTCAAATAGTTTTCTTATATATATATTTTGTCATAGTTATTATTTTAGGTAATTTTTAAATTTTTATACTTTTATTTTAATTGTTTGTGTTGCATTGTCTCTTCAGATAATTGTTTTAAAATTTTCTTTTTATTCCTTCGAACTGAGCATTTTAAATATAAATTAATATAAATTTTCCAGAATTTGATTTTATTTATTTGAATTGCATTTCTTTCGGAAGAATACTTTGTAACCCAGATTACGATGCGTTTGAAAACTGCATATATTAAAAGAGAAAATACAGTAAAGCACAGTTTAACACGCCTTTCAATGTTCTGTTCAGAAACGATATATATAAATAAGAGAAATGTATAACTGTATAAATGTATAACATTTTAACTTAGGATGACTTGCATACATTGCTTTAAACAGTTTTATCATTGTGCCCATTGCTTTACACAATTTTATCCTACATTTGGTTTTTTAAAATGTTATTCATATTTTAGTCAAATATTTTATTTTTGAAATCGCAAGAATCAAATATCATAAGATTAAAAGTTTTTTAATTTTAAAAAAGTACAAATACTAAATTTTACGCAAAAATTTATTTTTTCTTTTCTTTTTCTTCAGGCATTCTACTTTATTCTTGCACTTTTTCTTTAGGCATTCTGCAAGTATGTTAAAAAGTATCCAACTTTTCGAAATATCTTGATATTTCTGACAATCATTTTAAATAAAGTTATCACCTTCCATTTCATAAAGGCCCACAAACGACCAAGCGGTAAAGTCG